GGGGGGGGGAGTTAGCGCGAGGATTTGAACCGTTATGACTCCTTGCGGGTAAATCTTGGCGCGGCGCGTTAGCCGGAGGGAAAAATTGCGCGCGCAACGTGCGAGGGATGGGGGAGATCTTCTTAAGGGGGGAGATGAGCGCGGTAGCGCGGCGCCGTGATCGACCTCTCCGCCACCTCTTCCTCGGCGCCCGGCAGCTCTTGCACACCAACCTTCCTTTCACCGATTCTAACCGCGGCACACGCGTGGCGGAGGAGAACACTTTTCACAAGGGTTGACGACCAACCGTTTCCGGTAGGCCTGGGCTTTTTGGGGGGCCATCGCCGTCGAAAAGGGGCAGGAAGTCGGCGAGCGACCCGGAGCCGACCCGGAGTCGACCCGGCGGAGGAGAAGGAGAGAGGCCCGGATAAAGAACTGCACCGGGACACGGGACGGGCGGAGAGGGTTCTTTTGTACCGAAGGAGGGTTGCAGACGCATCTCCGGCAGCTGGGTCCTTGGAGAAAGGGAAAGGGAGAGGGGTGGTGATGCCATCACGCGTGTGCTTTAGGGTGACGTATATTATTACGCTATCTCTCACAGAAGTTGATACAACCAGAATGGGGTTAGATATCACATCCTCTCATGTGTGACCTGCAACTAACACATGGAAGAGAAATGACTAAATACTAGCTCTTGGGCGTGAAAACTTTGAAGGATAAGATCTTAACCAATAACTGAAGACATTTTAAAAGATTTTCGGGATATTACTTCAGTAGTTATATATAGTTTAACTGGAATTCATTGGTTCTTCGGCAAATTTACATCAATGATTGAACATAAGAATGAAGAGAAGAGTCTCAAAGGCCCCGTCCCGTAATTAATTGCTTAACTGTGTTCACGTTCTTTTAAGAGTTAAGATTATAACCTTAAGAACTAGGTTAGTTATTCGACTTGTTCAACTTCAAATACATAACTTTACAGCTTCTACTAAAATATATATATTTATGATGGTTTCGTTTAGTAACTAACATATGTTGGTGTTATGAGTTACGGGGTTCTAGAGGGAGAACTACTTTTCGGTCCCTGAGGTAGGTGCGTTCTAATCCGCACAATGCAAAGTGTCAAGCCAGCGGCACACATTGCGACCGAACCACACGCCTGCAGCAGACCAAGAAAGTTTGCATCGGGCTGCAGGACTGGTTGCTGCTATCTGGGTAGTAACTCGCAGACCAAGTAACGCCCCGAGCCCTACATGCTCTAAGTCACAGCGCGACGCGCTTTGAAGCGAAGTTGGAAAAGTTTGGCCGGCCTGAGAAGCTCCCCTTCCCTCTTCCTCCCTACCCGTCGTCGTTTGCTACCAAGCAGCTAGTCACCGGGGCGTAGGCTGGGGCGTAGGTTGGGAGCGTTGCGTACGACGTGTCGGCGTGCAAAAAGAAGAGGTTCTGGAAAACCAGAATTATGTGTCACTCACATTGAATGTGCAGCTCTCTGCTCTCCTCCAAGACAGCGCCTTCCATGGCCGTGTTGGACGCTTTGCATGTCAGCGTTTTGCCCGCGTCACTCTTCGACGGGTGGTACGATAGCGTGGACGTGGTCGTGTTGCCGTCCGTTGAGGTCTGTCAACATGATACAACACCACTTATTTAGAACAAGTTAAAGACTCAAAACACGTACAACAAATGCAAAAGCCGACAAATACAAAATCAGCGCATCAGTTTGCTCATCACAGACTATAACGACATAAATTGATGGCCTGCCAAGTTCTCTTAGCAACGCCTTCAGAACGAGTGAGCAAAACAAGGGCAACAGGACCCGACAGCAACATTCTTGGTCGGATGGTGCAGGCAGCGAGCAGCAACAGCGCCGTCTGCTGCGTCTTTTTGAAAGAAAAGAGAACTGTTATTTGATTTCCTTGCGTTTCCATTCAGGTGGAACGGGACGCTGGCGCGCTGAGTATGCAAGGGCTTTGGAGCGGGCGGATAGGCCGGATAGAGGTGGAGGGGAGTGGCGGAGAGGGAGAGAGAGAAAGAGAGATAGATAGAGAGAGAGAGAGAGAGAGAGAGAGAGAGAGAGAGATGAAGGGGGAAGAGGGAGAATTACTCTTGCGCAGCCCAGCAGGCTTGGCTGTGCCCGGCAGGCTGCGCCTCGGGGACCGATGATACACGCGGTGGCGGGAAACAAGAACACAATTAGCGGACTGAGGCGTGGCGCGGCGTGGCGTGGCGCGGCGCGACTAGAGGTAATAAGACGGCGCCGCACCGGAAGGGCCAGCGATGTGGATCCAGGGCGCCGCACTTTCGCATAAGGATCTCGTCGTGACGGCGCGCACAGTTACCGACGCCGCTGCCGTAGAAAAGTCAAAGACTAGCGCGCAATGTCAAGTGCAGTATACAGGGAAGGGGTTGTTACATTGCACGGCCGTGGTATACACGGAGGTAAAAATAATAGGCTGTGCTGATGGCTCGTCGTGGTTACAGAGTCACGTGCCCGCCTTCGCCCCCACAGTGCCCTAACGCACTCCTCAGATAGCGTGGTCCACATAAATCCAGGCAGCAATTTACAAAGCACATTTTTCTTCCGTGTGGCGATGTTCTGGCGCGAGGGCGCGGAGAGTGGGGCGGGGGGAGCTGGCTGCGGAGAGAGGGGCGCGGGCAGCGCGAGGGGCCGAGAGGCGTTCAAGCAATAGCAGCGGGCCGGCGCTGTACTGCTGGGGGTGGGCCGCCGCGGGCCGGGCCGGCCGGGGGGTCTGCCAGGTACATAGGGAATAGCTGGTCGCCCGCTGCACTTCAGTAGTCTCATCCCACAGTGTACAGGCGGGTCGGGCCAACAGCAGCGGTCCACCCCACGGGCGTTGTTTATTTCGGCCCACGAATAGCCCCAGCCTTTATAGACCGAGTCGACTTGCAGGCCATCCCTACCACCCCCCCAGACTCTCCCACTTACGGCAGACAACTAACAGTGAATGCTTCGACAGAAAAACAACATATTTGCGGCACCACGAAATATCTTGATAATTTTCCAGCAGGATAGGAAAGGATGTGAACTGGTCCAAAATTTGTAACAAAATCTTTTTAAGCTTTTCTGAGCGTCAAAAGGGCTAGAGTATAAATGAGAGGTGTGGGGAGAAAGCAGATGAAGGTATGGGAATCTTCTGCAAAAAGTATTTTTTTAAATCCTTTTCCTGAGACAGAATGTCAAAAGGGCACTAAATTTCCTTGCTTCGAACGCGTTCAAAAAGACATTAAGCCTATATATCCCCTTATTGTAGCACTTGCCATTGCCATGCCCCAGATTACGCAACAAAGTTTATCTAAGGTAAAAAAAAAGCAGTCATTATTTATTTACTTTGAGGGGAGACAGAACGTCTACGAGGTCCACTCTGGGCGAGCTGACTGCTTTAATCCAAAGAAAAAATAAAGAAAAGGATAACGCGCGATGTTTACATTCGTAATCCTGCTGAGTTAAAGCTGATGAGAGTCGTCTTTTTAATATTTTCTCTGACCACACTGCAAATCCAGCCGTCGCCCCGTCCCGCCCCGTCCGGTCCCAGGCCTGACGCGCGGTACTCCGCCCCGAACTTTTTCCCCGGCGAGGAGCGGGGTGTTGGCTGGCAGAAGAGGAAGGGGGTCTCTGGGAGCTCAATATTGCGTCTGACACATTTTATTATCTTTGCCATCCCGAAGAAACTTTTAGTCACCCTCGTTCAGAGCAGGCTTTTGTTCCAAACTTTTGGCGTACAGAGAGTTGCGCTCGGACACTATTCCACGAACATTCTTTCGGCTGGCGTCGAACGTCCAAACAACTCTCGCTCAACCAAACCGAAAATTGCTTTCCCACAAGGAGGAGATGCACCGCTTGGCAAGATCCACCCCCTAGCCCACACCCGCCCGCAGTTCCCTTCCCGCCCAGGTACTGAAGCACTCCCTAGGGCACACTGCGGAGCGGCGCGCGCCTAGCGGACGTTCACTCACAGGGCAAAGAAAATTCAACGCTTCCGAAACACTCATCTCTTTTAATTTCGATTTCAATTCCAAGTCCAAGTCGTGTTTCGCAGAAATGCACGTTTGTTGTACTCATGTGGTGGCAGGCTGGCAGGCACGCACGCGCCCAGGACCGGCCTCGGCTCTTGGGCAGGCAGGGCCGGAGTGGCGGACAGTCCATAGGTTACCCATTCCATGCCAAAGTCCAGTCACCCTCCAGAGAGACGGATCCCTTCCCCCCTTCGTGACGGGGCAACAACAAGGGCCGCAAGGGGGCAGGAATAATAAGCTGTTCCGAGCTCCGCCAGCGCCTCTGCCGCCAGCCCGGCCCGCACGGCCCGCGCACACATGCGCACGACAATACGTTGGCCCGGCTGTTAGTTTATGAACGTCCAAACCCGTTTGAAGCCATGCCAAGCGATTGTTGTGCCAGCCGCTGGCACGCGCATGCAATAAGGCTCACGCACGCACTTCGGCGCTCCTTTATTGCGGCGCACCAAATCAATAATAGCTAGGGCCTGCGGTTGGATTTTCAGCTGGTTCAAAATGGGTTCAAAATAACTGACGTACCAGTGCAGTCGGTTTTGACGACTAACGCATGTTCTATTTCTGCCCGTCTCCTTTTCAGAGAGCGCAGTAATCTTCCGGGTTTTACTTTGGATGGGCCACAGCCTTTGGCCAGCGCCACCCGCAGCTCCTCAAAGGACCCTGGTGGTTCGGGCTCACTCCAAACGGCCAAGCCGGGGCGGAGCGGACCGCGGGACTCCAACGCTGCTCGCGGCGTCGCCTCCACCCCCTCAGCAGCCCACACTCGGCCCAGGGCCGGACCAGGGTCCCACTCAGGTCAGTGCAACCCCATCCAAAGGGAAAGGGTTGCAATCAATTTACCCGGGCCGACGCCGGCGCCTCGCACCCCTTCCGACACCCACTCCCACCGCCCTCATGATTTAATATGGAGTGTTGTTTATATTCACGGCACATTTATCAATTTCAGCGTGCTTCCCGTTCAAACGAGACGCGAAGCAGTTTAGCGCGCGGCGCCATTTGCAGATCTTTTCTTTGATAGCGTAAGCGCTCGCACCTGACGCAAAGGCCTCGCTGCGCGCTCCCGCGCGCGCCTGTCACCAAGATGTATGTGTTGGTGGCGAAGAGGTGCCATTTTTATCGTGGAGGCTCGGCCGGCGAGGGTGGGCACAACGCGAGCACAATATCTTTCACTTCCATTTATCATACAGAGGCTATTGATAGAGGCAAAGGACGAGCGCATATAGAGCTCATTTAGTGACAGCTGAAGGCGGGGAAGTAGAGAGGAAAGAGAAAGGAAAGCCACAGAAGTAAAAGAGACTACGAAAGAGACCGCCTCAACCCCGCTATTTTGACTGTGAGTCTCGTCAGGAACCATCGCGTCTACCTGGTATCGCTTCGTCGAGAATACAATGTCGTATTCGTGGTCTGCGCGCCACTCTGCCATACCAACTGCCTTGCACAAAAGCATCCAAACCACACAAGCCCAGCCCCGTCTGTGAAGTTGGAACGAGCGTTCAGAGGGCCGTTACCAGTCAGCATGGTGTACACATTAGGGCGGCGTATGGCACGCCGCTTTTTCATGGCAGAAGTCTCGGCTGCTGCTGCTATTAGACCAATGTGGGGTTTGTTAACAATGCAGTGAAGGGGCGGTGGCGGAGCGTGGCGCGGACTGCGGATGGGGGAAAATTTCGGGCGCAATAGCGCCGTGGAGAACGCCATGGAGGTATATTGGCACAACAAGTCTGCACCAGAGCAATTTGTACCCCGTCTAGGTGGACAAAATGCGAAGCACAGCGCACAGCAGCGGGCTCAAAATCACCCAATAGTACTGTACAGGGTCAAATTCGAGATGAAGTTTTCGCGCTACTAATTTGAAATGGTATCGCTCTGCTGCGGACTACTGACCTTGTTCTGGACCTGCACAGTTTTTGCTTGACTCGAAAACGCGCGCCGGAGAGTAGCGATGGTAATCAAGCCTTACACAAAAGCTAGCCACCCGCAAGAGGTCCTTGATTTACACTTATGGCGCCAAAGTCTCATCTTAAAAGGGCTCTCTTTGGTAATACACATTTGTGGTGCACCATGAGGAAACAAAACAAGCCCTGAGGTTTTGGGAAGATTTAAAATTGAAAGAATGTTTTTACCTAAAACACTGTGAAAAATAGTCGTAAAGGGTTACGGGAAAATTTTGCGATGATAAAAGTCGTAAAATTACAATTTGAAATTGAAAATTTACAAGCACTCCCTATCGACTTGGAATTGACCGACGAGCAAGAATGGGCTGTCGTAAATTTACGACTCATTTTGTAAATCGAAATTACAACAAATGTCGTAAATTTACGTGGATATTTTTCACAGCAAAGGCTATGCGAGGGGTCGCCGACTCGTATAATACTGGGTACACGGACCTTATAGTACCTTATAATACCTATAATA